CCTCTGCTGTGAGGAAAGGCTGGGAGAGCCGGGGCTGTTCAGCCTGGAGAAGGCCTTGAGGAGACCTTACTGCAGCCTTTCAATATATAAAGGGGGCTTATAAGAAAGACGGAGACAAGACTTTTTACCAGAGCCTGTAGTGATAGGACAAGGGGAATAGCTTTAAACTGAAATAGGGTAGATTTAGTTTGGACATTAAAAAAGATCTCTTTCACAACGAGGGTGGTGAGGCACTGGCACTGGTTGCCCAGAGAAGCTGTGGATGTCCCATTCTGGGAAGTGTTGAAGGTCAGGTTGGACAGGGCTTTGGGCAATTTGATCTAGTGAAAAATGTCCCTGCTCTCGGCATGGGAGTTGGACTCAATGACCTTCAAAGATCCCTTCCAACCCAAACCATTCTATGATTCAATGATTTTATGATTCATCTGCCACCAAATCCCTCCTACAGCCGGGGTAACCAGGAATACAGCCAGTGGTTTAACTACCTCTTCTGCTCTTTCCTCCAGGCCTTTCTCTTTCTGATTCTCTTCACTCTCTAGCCTTCATTAGATACAACTTTCTCCTTTCTTCTGTCAAGCAGCCAGGCTGTAGACACGAAAACTATTTCAACCGCCATGCATCACTATGTCAGTGCTCAGGGATTATTTCTGTTATTGAAAAAAGCTGGTTTTTTCTACCTAGGACTGATAGAGAATCAAGTAATAGAGCAGTCAACAGCTGCACTGGCAGAGCAGAAGATAATGTAACACCACAGAGAGGTGCAACACAGCGATGTGAAGGTCACAGCTTCATCAATGAGAGCAGGAGTGAGCAGAGCGCTGTCCCATGGAGGACCTGACTCCAGCATGTGCACTATCTGACGTCAGTGCAGTGAAGCCCCTTACTCCATGCAAAGGCTGGAACACCATCTTCTATTTTTTCAGCTTTGTACCTGTTTCACTGAACAGGCAATTTAATCTCATCGAATGGGTGCTGATAAACTCAAGCAAAGTCCCATACCCAGCAATCAGCCTGTAGTTTTGGCATTGTTACACCCCACATTACATACTCGGACATACATAATAACAGAAGGACATCCCATATGATTAAAGAACAAGAAGCAAATAGTCTGTGTTCAGATGCTACCTGCTGAGGGACAAGCAGGACCAGATCCCAGAGATGACTTTCCCTATCAGCAAACACTTGCTGACAAGTGAGACAGAATACAACTAGGGAAAAACATCCATGTAGTATTTTTTGCCTTTCCAAATCAAACTTTTCACACTCATAGAGGCTGTCACAGTAACTTGCCTGTTTACAGTTACTTTCCTGGCCACAAACTGTGATACTTCTCTGTCTTCAAAGTAAGACCTTGAATAGTTTTGTCCAATTCGGTTTAGTACTCCCACGCCCCAAACTGTCAGGATTCAAGAGCTTAGCTCTACTTCTCCACATCAACAGCTCACTCTTCTGGAAAGGCTACCTGCCTTTCAGAACAGCCCAGCTGCCCTGCTGCTCTTCCTGAAGCTGCTACAATATTCTTGCCAATTATCTGATCATGAGAGCCACCTACTCAACATCTAAAGCTCCTCTAAAGAGGCACAGATTGAAGTCTTTCACCTTTATGAGCAAGTAGAAGACGACTTCCCATCTGCAGTTTCATCCATTCCCGGAGAATCTGAATCCTGGCTCAGAGCAGGCGGTCCCAAGAGGATGTGCCTTTTGGAACTTATTTCCTTACTTTTCACCTTGAAATGCTGGAACAAAGAGCTTTGTTTCTACATGCTTTGCTGTAGGACTTCCTGAGAGACATTCAGTCTTTAGCAATGTCCCGTGAGCTCTTATACTCCAGAGGATGCTGTGGCAGTGACCTAGATCGTTCACAGTTATTTGGGAACAGATCTGCTAAGCAGATTGGGTGCCAAGACAGGTTCAAACATACTGGTGAAATTCTTTTTTTCCCCCTTCTGTGCTTTAATGCTGTCATAGCTTCCTAGCTTTAAAAGGCGTAATTAATATTAGAACATGTAATTAATATAACAAGACATAAAACCTTATCCAAGCATACTAGTTCACCCTGTGTACCTTTGAGGTATGTGACTTGGAACATGATCTTGGCAGAAAAGGACCGAGGAGAGGAGAAGGTTGTTTTCATCTCAGAAACAAATACCACTGATGCTGAGGGTAGGGGGAAAAGGGGATTCCAGGGAATATATAAATCCAGAGTGACCTTACTGAAACCTTTCCCAGATGAAGCATACAGGGAGCTCTGCCTGGCTGCAGAAGGACAGGATTTTTGGACAAGACAAAGGGTGCAGCAGAAGCCAGGCTGACATTTGGGTGCTCATCAGGGTAGGTTTTTATATTATTTATGTATTTATACTTACAACCCGGGATGTGCCTAGAGCTGCAGAGAGGTGACAGGCTGTCACAGCTCTGAACATGTTGCTCATCAGCATCTGGCAAGACACTGTCTTGCCCAGAGACTTTTCTTCGCACCAGCTGACAGCCTTATCATTTGTACTTCAGCAAAGCTGGAAATTTTCAGCCAAGGCTGAGGCTCCACTGTTGGTAGGAGCTTGTCCTGTGTGAACATGGACAACGCCTCCTGGCTCAAAATGGCTTCATGTTTAAACAGATAAGAAAAAGCAGAGTACGGGAAAATGAAGGATTATTATCCTTATTTTAGAGACTTAAAGCCAGAGGAGTGACCTGGCAAAATTAGAGGCAGACTCTTAGAAGCAGGAATTGAATATTCAGTTCCAGTTTTAAGCTTTAACTACTGCATCGACCTGCTTTCTCTTACAGTTCCCCGGTAAAGCCCCACAAGACTCTGCACAAGCTGCTATGCCTGATAACACACAAAGATGACTGGCAGACAGCAGGTCTCTCTTTTCCTTCTTGCCTTGAGTAGATGTACTGGATTTGTGCGGAAGTGGTGGAAAACAGGCAAGGCTACAGGCTGATTACCCTACATTGTGTGAGCTTCAATACCAGAGCAATTACAGGAGGAGGAACTACCCACACCTGCAGAAGAGCTGCAGGAGCTGTTGCTCTCTGGAAGCAGGGAATGCAGTAGTCAGGTTTTGACATTCATCTTCTCCAAACCCTTGCTCTTGCAAATGAACCAAATGCTTGCAAACCCATGCTCCTCACCTCTGCTATATTCCTCTTCTTGTGCCTGTACTGAACAGACTCAGCTCAGCCTGATGACTGGCCTCCAAACATGGCAGAAGGCTGTCCAGGCTGCATGGAGAAGGCCAGCTTCCCAAGTGTTTTTACTGGTCATTCAAAGCTGGATAACAATGGAAGTGCCTGGGCAAAGCACAAGGAGACAGAAGGATACCTTCCGTGGCCCTGCAGCATAATACCTACCTTAAATTACAATAAGCAGATGCTAAAACAGTCACAAACATGCAGTGATTAACATCACGTTCCTGGCCATGAACAGCTAAAGCATGTCAGGATTAACTGCAGTCAGCTGACATAGTTTTCAATACTCTAATTCTGCTCTTCACTTGGAAGCATTCATGGAAGCATCACGTTGAATAACCCACTCCACAGCGCACAGTATCTATGTGCATAAAAGGGCAAAAACAGCCCCTGGGCTAGCTATTGCAGATATTGCTGCTTTCAAGAACAGTCATGCAATTTTGGTCTCTGTCCCAAAAGAACAAAGTAGAACTGGAAAAGATGCAGAGAACAGCAAGAAAGATGACCAACAGTCTGAGGGGTTCTGTGTATGACACAGGCTGGCACTTATCAGGCTAGGTAAAACATGACAGAGGAGGAATATGGCAACTGTCCATAAAATCCGCAGTTGCCTGGATAAGATGGATAAAGATCAACTGTTTACCACCTCTTCAAATACAAAAAATAAGGGAACCACTAGAGGCACTACTCAAAAAAGCAGGACAAAATTTTAAAACAAATCAAGTTGATGGGCCTCAAAATGAGGGGCGGACAATGAAGGCAAGTGCCTCTCAGGGAGCACCATGGATGCAGAAAATGTACGTGTTTTCAAGGGGAAACTGAACTTGCTCGTGGAAAAGAAATCCAGTAAGAATCACTCAGCACAAAGAGAGTACCATCTAGCTCAGAAGACACTCAGCTACATACAACTCCAGGCTATGGTGAAGTATCATACATGCTTCTGCAGGCAGATCCTGTCAGCCGCTGCCAGAGACAGAACATCCTGCTGGGAGTTTTGGTCTGACCCAGCATGGTTGCCCTTGTTTTCTTATGTATCTGCAGGTACAAACCACTTCAAGGCAGATGCACGTCAATCCGGGCTCTGACACAGCCTGGCTACGCACATACACACATACATCAGATAACCTTACGGGGAGCTGTGACTACTACCACAGCAGTCACCTTCATTACAGGGATGCAGGTCCTCCACACGGTTGCATCTCATGACCACTGACATAAACCACATTTGCGTCCAAGCGCTGTGCCACAGAGCTGCGCCCAGCCTGGCAGCACACACTCTGCATGGGGGAGCTGCAGACCCTGAGCTTGACAAGGGAAAAGAAAAGCAGGGAAGAAGGAGAGACTGAAATTCGCAGACACACATAAGTACGAATGGGAATAGCACGTATGTGCTCAGCAGCACCCAGACATCTGGGTCTCCTGGTTAAATGTCCTTGATTAAAAGTGGAAAGCTAAGAAGCCTAACATAAATTAACTTTCTCCTCTTTATTGCAAGTTGGAAACTGCAAAGAAAAAAGAAGTAAAAACCAAACTCTGCTATGAATGAAGCAAGTTTGGAGTGCCCACCTCTCTGAAGAGCGCGCCATAAAACTGAACAATATACGGGCAGTCACTGCTTCGCATTACTACATCAAGGTCCATCAGAAGTTGCTTCTGTTCTTTTTCATCCACTGTCGACCGAATTCTCTGAAAGAGGAAGAGTGGCAGAGACTTTATCACTTACATGCCATTACTGTATCCTCAGACCCGCTTCTGGAGAAACATGCCAGGGACCCCAAACCCAAGGGTGAGCAGGCAATCCCCAAGGCATGCTCAAACACACTCTAGAGAATTAAGTTGTGTTCTGAAATAACAAATATAACTGAAAACCCCTAAAGCCATTTAGTTCAGACAAAAATTCCCAGTCCTCTCACGTGCATCAACATTTTCAGATGAAATGTCAGAAGGAAATTAAAGAGCAGAGATTTCATTGAAAACTACAGCAAAACAACATATTTAGGCTTTCATTTCAAAACAAATTCCCACACAGTTCTTAGCCATGTTGGATGGGCCTCGAAGGCTGTTTTGGAATTTAACCAAGGAACATTAAGTTTAAAATTTCTGACAAGCACAGAAGACAAAAAGGCTCCTTCCACCATGCCTGGCATGGTGAAAAGGGACCATCACATAACCGAGGGAATATATTGCTCTGGTAACGCTAATGGTGGGCAACAGTTCTGCGAACTCTTCTCATAAACTAACAATTCCTCACCCAGTACTAGCCTAGGGAACATTAACACTATATAAAAGATATTATCTGTATACATAAAAATATATACACTATGTGTATATAAAGATATATATATGTATACACACGCTATACTTTATATATACACTATCATCTCATTTGGACTTGAAAGAACAACGCAAATTTGAAAATTGAAAACTCTACAAGTTCAAACATGAAGCTTGTTAACTAAAGGATGGAGAAGCCCATCCACAGTTTTTCATGTGATTTTACAAACATATTTAACATCTTGCACTAATTAATGCATTCCCTGAATCACAGGTGAGGAAAATCATGATCCTGAAGGTGTCACTCATGTTGAAAAATCATTTAAAAAATGAACAAAAATCTATTTGGCAAGAAGTCCAAAGCAACAGAGGTAGCCTGGACTCTCCTTGAGGAGAAAAACTACTTGGCTGTCCAAGAAAGAAAAATTATTCAAGGTTGTGGGAAAAATCTGCAAAATACCAGCACTCACTCCCACTGACACTACTGCCCTGTGAGCAACTGCTGGTGGCATCAAGAGCACACACATTAGCAAGCACAAGGCTAAGTATATGCAGGTACCCTCAAGGCTGGCCATTCATACCGCACCATTTGAGAAACAGTGCACGATTATGTACCTTAAGGCTATTTTGTGATGACCCACACAAGATGAGGACAGTATCGACACTATAATTTTCCTTACCTTTGGTGTATCCTGATATTTTGGTATTTCACCACACGTTCTTAATGTTCTAGTAGCTCTAGTTTGGCCTAGACCAGCAATTGTCGTGTTCATACTGCCCTTTTCTCTCCCAGTGCATTCTAGAGTACCTGGGAAAACTGGCAGGAGACTTGCCCAGCACACCCACAGTCTGTAACATCCCCACCCTCAGATGCCACTGAGCGGGTGGGATTTTGTAGTCACAAACAAAGAAGATAGCTCAGGAGGCTAGTAATGAAACTAAAAAGCTTCACCTCTAGGTCACTGGTTCAAGTCTGTTTCACAGAAGTTCAGACACGTCACTGAAGAAAGCCCAATGAGTTTGATTATTTCTTTGTCTTGTGTCTACATCATATAAAGCTCTACAAACCCCTGCTGAGATATCAACGGCTGGGCAGATTCAGTGTCTCTTTCTAGGTGGCACACCATCAGCGCTGTGTGAAGTGATAAGGTTGTGGCTCTGACCTTGATAGAAGACAATGGATGCCATGGTGGGACCTATGAGGAATAGTTTACTCTCTCATCAAGATCCTACTCACTCCTCTGAAAAGTTCACCTCTGATGAGGAGCAATACCAAAAGGAGATTTTCTCCATACAGCGGCTCACATCTCCCTTCCGTGCCAACTCCGTATCTTTCTCCAAAAAGCCTCTTTCCTGGTCATCCGGGAATCTCCCCAGCCCCCTCTACCCTCCCCTCGCACCTGCACCATCCTGGCACAGCCATCCCCACAGCACGCTCCTCAAACTCCACAACTTCCCCCAGAAGCATCTCCTCCCACCTCTGACATTTCCTTCTCTGCTGTTACTTCTCCAGCTCTGGCAAGCATGTGAAATATATGTTGTACGGAGGAGGCGATTTTAACAGCACCCCAGAACAACACTGAACCCAAAGATTCCTCCTTTTCCCAAACACAGTCTCCCCGGGGAGAAAGAGAAAGGGCAGGCAGAGGACCCAGAGGACAGACAGTGGGTCAGCTATAGGGCAGAGGGTTCAGGCAGACACAGGAGCCAAAGGACACCTTGAGAAGCAGTGTGGACTCCCCACCAAACACTGCTTCAGGGAGTGAAGGCAGTGACATGATGCAAGACTGAGAGGTCTCATACAAGAGTGCTGGAGGCTGAAGACTGGCAAACTCAAGAGGAGGGGAAAACTATCAGGAGCAGCATGCAGCACAGCACTGAGCTGGGGTCAGCCCAGGCTGGAGAAGATGGCTTTGTTTAGCTGGAGCACACCAGGGAATCTGCTGGAGGCCAGTGATCCCAACACACTAGCTAAGGAACCACCGTTCACCAGGGAAACAAAGAAGAAACAGCAAAAGGTGACTGAAGTCAACAGCAGCCTCTACCCAAATAGCACACGAGCCATAATGATGTTCTGCTACCTAACTCCAAGGCAGAGTGCAAAAAGCTGCAGCATTTACCACAGACTCCCCCAGGAACACGAAAGACAGCAGGGAAGGAAGACACAAGGTGAGGCAACAGCCTGAAGACATGGATGGACAGGTCTGACTTAGCTTCAGGTCTTACACCTCAGCCTGGTCACCCTACTGCACAGTTGCTGACATGGCCAAACAAGCCACACAGGGAAAAAGTGGTTTTTGTAGTAAAGGCTTACGGAAAATCTCTTTTTCAACTGTTCCTTGTTGGCCTCAAACTTAAACTGTACCAAATCCTTCAGGAGAAAATTCTCCAGCCCTTTTAATACAAACACAGGTTAGGACAAAGCCTTTTGATATCAGGAATGAGAGCTCTGAAAGCTACACCCTGGGCAGCATCAACAGCAAAAGGAGAAGCTATGCTGTGGACTGGACCACTCAAGCTAAAACCAGACAGATCCCGGAAACCAGACCCAGAGCAGAAGAGACATCACCCAGTCCCAATACACACATGAATGGATTCAGGTGCAGTGGGTAGCAACCAGTTAAAAAAAAGAAAAGGAAAGCAAAGACAAAAAAAAAAAAAAGCTAAAAACACAGAACTGAAAAGCAACTCCTCAAGTGGCAGGACAACACAATGTTGTCCTGCATACAGGGCTCACACGTGTCCTCCGAGAAAGCACAGCAGGGCCTGACAGAGTGACCGGAGGGCTGGTGCTCCCAGGAGATGGCCGGGACTGAGGACATCACACCAGCAGCAAGAAGGGGCTTTGCCCACTCTCCACTGAGGACAAGAATATTTATCGACCCATCTGAAACACATTTACTACTGTTAGGTCTGCCACCGATCGCAACTAGTTTCCCACCTCCTATGCTACGGTTCTCACTCCCTCTCACCATTTCCTTTCAGCCCTTACTCATCCACTCCCTTCCCAGTATAACACCAGCCGGGCTTGGAGCACACCTACCCAAATGGACGAGTGAAACAGAAAATCCGGCTCACTAAACTATAAGGAATCAACCTGGGAGAGGCTACCTAATTGTGTGAAGAATGGAAATGATGACTTGCAACAAAGCCAGCCTGCAAAAAGTCCCAACAGTTCTTTTCAGAAGTCACATGGGAAATCAGAAGGACAGAGAAATTTGCCCTATGACTGAGTTTAATAGGCTAATGTGTTATTTTGGTGGGCTTTTATGGGCTATCAGGCATCCAGGTAAGGATGGAGAGATTATGGGAGGTATAAATACATGTTAAATTTCTGCTCACAGGGATATCTGATACTTAGCAACTTACTTCAGCTGTGAGGCTGCCATCAGAGAAAGCCTGTGAAAGCCAAAGACATGAACATCTGTTTTAAAGCTACGGATGAGAGAGTAAGCACTGACTGCAAGGCAAAATGATGTGAAAGAGGCACTGTGCTCTGAACAAGAAATGGCTCCACAGCTTCCTGGCTTCCCTGGGAAGAACAGGGATCCTTTATGGACACCTCACAGGCTTGACATCCTGCTGAGCTTTATGTATTTCTAAACAGTGCCTTGGCCAGCTTCTCCAATTACCCACCTGATCTTGAAATTGCTTCTGATTTTCTTAGGACAAGTTTAGAACAGAAGAAGTGGAAGACCACCTGCAGTCTGGTCAGAAATACTGCTGGACTAAAGAGAAAACAAGAAACCAGCAACAGTATCCGAGGACACTGGCTGGAACTGGAGACTAGACTGGGTGATACTGCAGAGCAGGACTCAATCAGCTAGGCTGATTTCTACAGTAGATAGGGGAAGCTACAGAAAATTCTGGTACACAGCTGAAAATCACTGGATCTTCTGGGGTGGGGGAAAACTGAACACAAGTATTGTGGACAAAAATACCATCTCCCCAGCTGGTTTACTCTCCCTAGCTGTAACTATTTCTGACAGAAAAATAATTCAATTGAAAAGAAGTGCAAGATGTTTCCATGGGGCTGTGACAAGTAGCTTGAAGGTAAACCGAAGCATGAACCACTCTACTCGTCACTTGATGGTGTATTTTTCAGCCAGTTGAACTGGCCGAAAAGGAACTGGCACAAGTTGAAGGGGAGAGGAGCGAGAGGCGGAGGGCTCAGGACATCACTGCCTTGCTCGGGCTCCTGATCTGCACAGGTGCCACCTAACAGATTGAAGCTTGTCTGTTTTAAATTTTTACCTATTTATCTCATGAACTCTTCAAACAAGAAATTGTCCTAGCCTTTGAGAGGCCTTTTTTAAGTACCCTGCCTAATAAAACCCACAGTAGGTATTACATACAGTATTACAGCAAAACGCAGGGCATCCTGCTCCAACAGGGAAACACCCCCCGGCTTT